CCTGAATTCCTGCATTAAGGTGTCTGCTCAGATCTGTAATGCCACGGCACTCTACCCAGGGTGACAGCTTGAGGCTCAAAAAAAAAAAAAAAAAAAAAAAGAATGAAACCTAGGGAGCAAGATGGCAGCCGACTAACAGCTTCCTTGCAACTGGGCACAGTGAGTCTGGGGAGAGGAGGCTACAGGCATCTCAGGCTGGTGGGATTGGCCCAGAAACATCCCTTTGGAGACACAGGGAGTCAGCAAGGGACTTTTGGGCCCCCCAAGGAGGACAAAAGCAGTGGAGAACTAGCAAGTGTTTGTGTGTGTTCATTCAGTCTAATCCCGATGGCAGCTGCAAGTTCAGCAGCTGCGAGACTGCAAACTGGAGAGGCCTTACCTGTGAATTGTTTGGGTATTTTTTTGGACTTGGCACTCAGTTGAACTACCTTGGGAGAACTTGGGCAAGAGAGCAGAGGACTTTAAGCATTATCTAGGGCAGAGTCCTCAAACTTTTTAAACACGGGGCCAGTTCACTGTCCCTCAGACCATTTGTGGGCCAGACTGAGGCCCCGGAACGAGTCGGCTGCTAAGCAGGACAGGCAGCGCGGCAAAAACACCCGGTAGGATGGATAAATGTCCTAGGCGGGCCACATGTGGCCCACAGGCCATAGTTTGAGGACGCCTGGTCTAGGGCCCCAGACTGAGCCGCTGAGCCAGATGGAGCTAATAGTGTTAGGCTGTGGGCTGCACAGAGCCATTGTGGGAGAACTACTCCAGCAAGCTCCACCCTCAGGGTCACAGAGCAAGGATCGGGTGGGAGCAAGTAATCTAGTGATGGAGCAGCCTAAAGGTGGGGACTGAAACGCCTTGTAGCCTTGGCCTTCAGGGGCATAGATCGGTTTTGGCACACTGGGTAAGTAGATAGCCACTTCAGAAGTGATCCCACCAACAAGTGCTTTCCCGGGAAAGCTTCTGCTTAGCCCAGGTTGGCAGTTTCAAGTACCTTTTAAGCTGGCTGAGGTGAGATTTAGGCTCTCCACCCTACCTGGTTTGAGAAATCAGCAGTGGCCTCCAGTCTCCATCTCTCTACAGCTGTATTACCATTGTGATTAACATCTCATACCCCAGAAGATCACCTGTTGCCCAGACAATATTCAGCAAGATATATATACTGCTTTGGGTTTTTTTGTCTGTTTTTTGTTTTGTTCTTTTTTTTAATTTAACTTCAACATTTTCCTTATAGATTTTTTTCTTTCTTCATTTTTCTAGTTTAAATATAATTTTCCATTGTTGCCTTTTTTAACAATTAGAACTTCATTTCTGCTAGTGTTTCTACCCCTATTATTTGGCTTTTTGCCCAATTTTATCCTGCAAAGTTTTCTGTTTGCTTGTTTTGATTTGATTTATAGCATTTTTGTCTTTCCTCTCTACTTCGTGGAGGTGGGTACTATGTCCGAACAGGTTAGCAAAGAGCTGCTGACCTCAAGGGAACAACCCAACCCAGCACCCCCAGAGGTTGGGGGTTTCTAAGGTTGGGTCAAAGTACCCTACTGTATACCTATATTGCTCCCGTCTCCCTCTTTCTGTGCCTCTCTTCTCTTTGTTAATATTCCAGTTTACCCACCCCTTTTCTTTTCTCATTCCCCCCCCCTTTTTTCCTCTCTTTTCTCTTCCAGCTCTTTAGTCTTCTTATCCTTCTAGTCCTGTACCAAGAGGACTCACCGAAACCCTAGTCTAGAGGCACGGGAACGTAAAGAGCAAGAGGAGTGAAAGGAAAATTAGGGCAAGGAAGCAGATAAATCACTCATGAGAAGAGCCAGCAGAAAAATCCTGGCAACATGAAAAACCAGTCCAGAGCAACCCCTCCAAGGGACCGTGAGGTAGCAACTGCTAAAGATTCCACCTATAAAGAAATGTTAGAAATGACATAAGGGAATTTAGAATACAGATGATGAAAATAATGAAGGAATTGATGGAAAATAACCAAAAGGAAATCCAAAAACAGAATCAAATAAGAGATGAACGATATGAAGAATACAGAAAAGATATAGCAGAGCTGAAGGAACTGAAGCAGTCAATTAAGGAACTTAAAGATGCAATAGAAGATATCAACAACAGATTAGATCATGCAGAAGAAAGAATCTCAAAGGTAGAGGACAAAGCTCTTGAGAGATCTCAGATACTTAAAGAGGCAGAAAAGAAGAGAGAGAAAGCAGAATATTCACTGTCAGAATTGTGGGACTATATGAAGCATTCAAACATTCGAGTTATAGGTATTCCAGAAGGGGAAGAAGAATGCCCCAGGGGAATGGAAGCCATATTTGAGAATATTATAAATGAAAATTTCCCGAATATCACCAAAGATTCTGACACACTCCTTTCAGAGGGATATTGGACTCCAGGTCACCTCAACTCTAACCGAGCCTTTCCAAGACACATTGTGATGAACCTGTCCAAAGTCAAGACAAACGAAAAGATTCTTCAAGCTGCCAGGAATAAATGCCAGTTGACCTACAGGGGCAAATCCATCAGGGTGACTGCAGACTTCTCTAATGAAACTTTCCAAGCCAGAAGACAATGGTCATCTACCTTTAATCTACCTAAACAGAGCAATTTCCAGCCCAGAATTCTATATCCTGCTAAGCTAAGCTTTAAAATTGACAGAGAAGGCTTTGGCGCCTGTGGCTCAACTGGCTAAGGCACTAGCCACATACACCTGAGCTGGCGGGTTCAAATCCAGCCTGGACCCGCCAAACAACAATGACAGCTGCAACCAAAAAATAGCCAGGCGTTGTGGCAGGTGCCTGTAGTCCCAGCTACTTGGGAG